TCCAACCTTAATGATTCTGTGCTTCTGTGAACTCTCAGTGTCACAAATACAGCTCAGCAATTAAAAGGCTCAAAAAAGTTCAAATTATACCAGTGATTTCTGTGACAAGGTCCACCCAGAACGTGACTGTGAATCATCAGTGCCTGAAAAAAATATAGAATAAAATCCTGGCCTTGCTGACGCCAGGAAGTTTTGACATTGCCCTGAATGCTGGACCAAACTTCAGAGCTATCAGAAGAGACTCCTCTTCATCCCAAAAATAAATCAGCAAACTTCCTCTCACTCTAATCACATATGAAATTAAAAATCACTAACTCCATTCTGTTTTCTTAAAATACTAATTAAGTCTGCTATTTTCCATGATCTATAATGGAACATTTCCACAAATAACTTTTTCAGAAAGTGCTTATTTGTTAATCTGAGTTATTAGTACTTAAAGAGAATGGGGAATTATCTTGAGAAGGACTGCCAAATCTATGTTCTATTTAGAAATAATTTTAATTTTTCAATTAAAGACTTTGGTAAGCCCAGACAAGGGTGTATGATGCAATACAATCTCCATGCTCCAATGGCTCTTTTCAGACAAGAACACTAAAACCCTGCCTAGTCATCATATGAAGAAGTCCTTGTCTATGCAAATTTTAAGGGGCTGGTACTATCTGGATTGTTCTCCACATATTGTGTTTTATATTTAAGAATTTCTGGAAAAATGACTTGTAGTCAGCCAGGGTATTCCAATTCAGTTAACTAAGCCATTAAAACCAAAGCCATATTGTCTGTAAGCCTTATTTCATACTTACAATTCTGTTATGCCCCACAGTGGGAGCTGAAATAGCAGATCATCTCCTCTAATGCTGCTACTTAATATTGCCTGTCCTTATATAGATTTTCCCAAGTTAAGCTCAGAGTTTACAGATCCAGTAGCCTTTGACCATACTTCTTTCCATGCCTGTACAGGCGTAAGCACAGCCCTTGGCAAAGATGACATTGTCCAATTCTGTCACTTCAAGGCTCTTAAAACTTGAAGATGCATAAGTCCAACATAACTAATTTAATCTAAAACACAAAGTTATAATACTGAAAAAAGTTTGTTATAGTAAGCCATTCGGAAAAACCAAATACTCTCTCATTTGCAACAGGAGAAAAAGTTCCTTGATATTACAATTACTGTGTTAGAATTTGTGTGGCTTTTGGTTAATTTATACCAAGAAGTAAGTTAAAGAAAGCTAAGGCTATGAATTGGATACTATTTCATCTATAAATATCCACTGTATTTCAATTCTCTTCTAAAAAGAGGTCTTAAGGAAAAAAAATACAATTTAAAATATGCGTAAGTTTGTAAAAACCAAACATATAAGTTGAGCACAGTGTAAGAAACAAGCCTTTTTTTTTTTTTAATTAACAACATATTTACAAGTTCATAAAAGTCAACTGAACTGGAGCAGATGTTTTGTGTTTGTCACCAATATTTTATTGTAACTGGTAACTTGCATGCTTCAGAAGAAGAAAAAGAAAACAAAGTTCACTATATATAGACTTTGTACTGGCTACTTGACTATACGCAAGGCATAATGATTATAACACAGCCTAGCCTCCATAATAATTTGTGCACAAAAAGACACCAGACATTATGTGAACATTACAGTGAAATGACATCACAAATCCAGTGATAAGTCAGCATAATACAAAACATATTGATCTACTGCAAATGACATTGTTTTTAAAAAACAACAATAAGCCTTTATTCAGTAGTAACTTAACCAGAGTCTGATGCAGAGATTTGTTGTGTAGTTATAAGTCTTTTAAGGGAAGCAACCTCTGCAGATAAGTTTGTTAAGCCCTGCTTCAAATACAGGTTCTCTGACTCAGAGACATTGAAGATACTGTCTTTTATTTCAACAATTTCAGTTTTGCAACCACTCTGAATTCTTACACTGAGTTCCTTTTGATGCCAGAGTTCTGGTTTGAGAGACCAGTCTTGGATATTAGTCACTTGAACTGAGAAAGAAGTACGAGAAGAATGCACCAAGTTTTGTGCAGTGTGTTTTTCAAGCTCAACATGTCTTTTTGATGACATATCAGTAGGTGATGATAGTTTCTGTGCAGCATCATAGTCATTATCTACTGCTTCCACTTTAACTTGCATGGCTTTGGCTTTAATTCGAAGTTTGTGAGGCAAAGCTGAAGAATTCACTTCTGGAACTTTAACTGTTGCACAAATATTTTTATGTTCAGCTGGGGAATGGATTGGACCCTTAGGAACCTGCTGTTCATCTTCTCCATCAGATGACTTTCCAACTGTACTGTCATCAGTTTCTGAAGTTCTGGGGGAATTACTGGAGGACCTATTGACTTGGAACAGAGGAGGAGAATGTGAGTACATGTTAAAGGTAGTTCCCATGCAGTGTGGATATATGGATGCTTTCTGTGAATTTCTGTCATCTCTTGGCTCTCTCTCTAATTCCATGGGCTCCTGTTTTATAATCTGAAACTTATTTTCAGGACTTCTGTAGTTGTTTTGCATACAACTTGATTGGGTATGCTCTACTGATGATACTTCAGACATATCAGACATAGAGCTTTGAGGAGAATGTTTAATGACAGAAATACAACTGCTACCAACTATAGATGGCTCATGTTTATCCACAAACGAGCTAATATTTGATTTGGAACTTTGATAATCTTGGAAATACGCAGCTGTTGAGCTACTGAATTTCTGTATCTCTTGGGCATAGGCTGCAGAAGTAATTAAACCAAACTTCAGCTTCAAAGCAAGCAACTCTGCCTTCAAAGTGGCATTCTCCTCTCCCAGTGCAATTAGTTTGTTCTCTAAGACAAGGTCATTCAGTCGACGTTTTTCACGAGATCTTTTAGCAGCTTCATTATTTTTCCGCCTTTTCTCCCAATACATAGCATCTTTCTTTTCATCTGGAATGAATTCTCGCTTTCTTCGGCAAGCTGAAGATGTGCTTTTTCCACTATTTGCTTCAGTGAGCAGTATCTCTTCATTTGTAGACAATACTTCAGACACTTCTGCTAAAGTAGACTTAAGTACCATGATTTTGTCCACATCACTATTTGTGTCAACAGGTCTGTGTTCCTTTTTAAGGGTCTGCATTTTTCTTAGCTGCATCAGAAACAATTTGTAATAGATCTACAATGAGCAACAGAGCAAACTATTTCCACAGTATTTCTTACACCACAACTTAATGCAGTACTTTGAAATCCACGCATATTCTTCCTTTTGTTTCATATTCTCAAACAGAAGTGTCTAGATCCAATTTTCTTGGCAGAGGTGATGAGAATCTTCTAAATAACCTTCAATAAATAGAGAATTCAATTACTGTTTAGGAATTTCTGGTTTGGGGCATTCAAAAGTAACTTTCAATAAAAAGCTTAGACTAGCATTGGATCCATTTAACCTGCTGAAATATGAAGGAAGCTTGACACTGAAACAAATGATATTCTAAGCTTTATGATACCTAGGTAGCAGATTTGCTTCCAAAACAAATAGAATATGATCCAAGGAAAATTTATTATAAAAATTATATATTTGAATTTTGATCTGACAATAATGTCACAGAACTCTCCATAATATCACTGACCAACTTAAACCTAGCATTTAACACTGCTGAACACCAGACATGTTGATGAGCAGCACTGGAATGTATCTTGTCCTTCCAAATTAAAACATCTCTTCAGAAAACAGTTGTGGTGCATGATTTGGCAATGCTATATATTTGGGTCATCCACAGATTAAAAATAACATAAGCTGATTTAGAGAAGCTAGAGTGCTATCTATTGTCTTAAAATAACACTGCTATCCATTAAAGTTATTAAACATTTAACTACTGCTTTTGTATCCTGAAAATTTATATATATACACAAAATGTGTGTTGTGTGCATGTGTACACACACGCACACACTTCAAGTTTTAAAATCCTTTTTTGTTCAATCATATAAATTCAAAATAGTAAATGCACACATAATTCTGGCAAATATAGAAGCAGCATGTTTTCTCTAAAATAAGACTGTTTCAGAACAAGAACTATGTCTTTGTATCTATCTGTATGGTCTCCAGCTCAAAGTGATGCCACTTCGATGTCTGTCCAACACTACAATTTAGGGAAAATATTAGTAATGATAGTAACTGGTAATAATAAAGAGCAGAAAGGTTTTTTTCTAAATGCATGCAGACCATGGGCATAGCTGTATGATCTTCTATTTAATCAATGAAAATTTAATTGCAAGTTCAAACAGTCTCATGCAGCCAGATACTGGTGTTGACCTCCACTTAAAATCCAACAAGCTGCAGAGTTCATGTCCCTTGCTTCACAGACCTTCTACAGTTTGGGGCATTCGAGGGCGCAATCTGCTTGTTTTAGCACTGGTAACTCCTGTTTTGGCCAGTCTCCCTCCTGAACACATTGTTCCTGGCACAAGTAGAATGAACATAGAATTGGTAGCTTGTAAGTCTACAGCAAATAGAAATGTGTATCAAAACAATGGTGGTTTTGCATACAGCATTCAACTCTGCTTTCAGCCAGAGTACATCAGTAAAGTAGTCAAGACAAAAGTATAAGCCACATGTTTTATGTCAGCCTTACTGGTTTGATATTTATGTAATTAGTTCTAATGACATTGCTTTAGTCAGCTAACAGAACAACAATAAAGCTCTAGCTCCTTCCACATATTCCCTGAATGCTTTTATCACGGTAACTAAAATTGCTGCTTTACAAACAGGACTCAGAGCCCTAGTTTGTTAATAGTGCTCTACGTGGATCAGCCCAATACTGAGTCTGTAAACAAATTAAATTCCATCTGATGATAATGGTAAAATGTCTTCAATAAAAGTGGCCATTTCACTTCACTTGCATTTTATAATTCCACTGGAAAACATCAGTATTTACATGTAAATTAATGAACTGTAATGATTCCTCTGATTATATTTCAAATTCCAATATCTTCCCTTATGATTAAATTTTCAATTGTTTTATCACTCCCTCATAAAGTATTCTAAAACCAACATTTAATAGTACCTTACATTAGTCATTATTAAAGGTTTTGTTGTTGTTGCTTGATGTTAATGACATTGAGTGACAATGTAACAGTGTAATAACTCGACCCTATCAATTACAGATCCAGTCTTGCTCCCACAGCAATTTTGCCGTTGGTTTCAACAGAGGTAGGATACAATCTCAGATCCAAATATTAATGAGATTTCCATAGAATTCATACTATTTAAGCAAGAAATTACATATGTAGAAATCAGGAAAATTTAATTTACCCATATCAAAATAATACATTGCATATTCAGATTGTCATACTTGAAAAGTGTCAAAGGGTTGTGACCCAGTCCTTCAATCTTGCCTCGGTTCTTTGTAATTTAATTAAATAAGTCAGTTCTGCTTTACAATACACACATAGGTCTCCACACATACATATATGCTTCTCCAGAGTAACTGCATATTAGTATTTGTATTTATCAAAATAATTCACATTATCTCCAAGCCTAATTTTTCAAAACATATTCTGTAATGAGATATCCAATTATTTAATTCTGTTGCTCTAACGTTTTGATAGTAATTCTACAAAACTAAATTAAATCCCATTTCAAGCAGTCAGACGCTTTCAAACAAACTTCATTTTTGTAAAGCTGTGTCTACAAAATTTACCTCAGTTCTTAAAAAGAAAAAGGAAAATTAATGCAAAATAACTTCCCATTTTAAAGAAGAACCAGGTATTTATCATTGTCTTTTTAATAAACAAACACCTCAAACCACTATGTAGCAAAGTGTCGAAAAACAATAAAAGCTCACATTGATATGTCTGCATATATTTCTAGTTGTTGTTTTCCATGTTCCACATAGGTATCATTAATTATGTCAAAGATTACGTATTTTAAAAATTTGTTCACATACCAGGGCTGATATAGAACCTGCTCATAGATACTCAAACATGACCAAATTGTACTCTGTAATTTGAAAAAAGGAAGAGTATCTTTTGCACTTTCTATCTACAAAGCATTATAAAAATATTTGCTAACTACCTCAAGACTTTCATGAGGTACAGAAATAATATTATGCACATACAGGGGAGGAAATTGAGTTTAATAGTAGTTGATGGATACACAGCCTAACTAAACACTGCTTAAACATTTTGGAGCTACTCTACCACTACTGCTTTTCATAGACAAAAAGTATGCCATGAAATTCTGCACCTCTCGGGTCTATAATAATTAAGAAATCCTCTTTAACTGAGAATGTGGCCTCCAAAGCCCAAACCAACCTCTACTGAAATCATCCAACATACTCTTTCTTGCCTTATATCTAGCACCTTCAGTGAAATTCTGTCCCTGCTGAAGAAAAACTTTGATGCCAACTCCATTGGAAAAGTGATATTATCCCTAGATTTGTGGGCAAGAGGGTCTAGGCAATGTGGAGTAAATGAAGTTCAAACTTTCTGGAAACACTGGGTAACTGGATGTTATGCTATTATAGGTATCGTGGTTTAGCCCCAGCCGGCAACTAA